GCGTGTCCCCCCCTCCCTTCTCCCAGGAGCCGCCTCCGTGTCCCCCCCGCCCCCCCCCGCGGGGCTCCGGGACACCGGGAATGGGAGGGGGGCGCCCCCTGCTGGGGGAAATCCGCGGTTCTTGGAGGGCGAGACCCCCCCGGGGGCACCGGGACCGCCCCGAGCCAACCGGAGCCCCCGTGAGGAGCCGGTACCGGGGAATGGGACCCCACCCGCGGGCACTAAACCCCCCCGAGTGAACCGGGATTCCTCGGGATGCACCGGGAGCTCCCCAGAGAGCACCGGGATGCCCTGGAATGCCCCGGGACCATCCCCAAGTGCACCGAGAGCCCTCGGAGCGCACCCAGACACCCCCGAGCGAACCGAGAGCCCCCCGAACGAACCGGGAGCCCCCCGAGCGAACCCGGAGCTGTCGAGTGCCGTTGGCGCTGAAAGACGGGGACCCCCCCCGTACGCACCGGGACCCCCCAAACGCACCAGGAGCCCTCAAAATGCGCCGGGTCCACCCCAGGATGCACCGACCCCCCCTCAGAATTCACTGAGACCCCCCAGTATGCACCGCGACCCCCGAGTGTGGGTGCACCGTGTGAACCGGGACCCCCCAGACCCACCGGGACCCCCCCAAATTCCCCGTGTGCCAGGGGCCCGGTACCGGCACCGCCACACGCGGGACGCCCCAATCCTCCCGTCCCCTCCCCGACCCCCCCCGGTCCCTCCCGGTCCTCCCAGTTCCCCCCTCCCCGTCGGCTGCCGGGGGCGCGGGCGCTTCCCGCTGTACCGGATCCCACCGGAATTCCCGGCTGGGCCGGGGCAGCGGGACCGGACGGGCCGGGCCGGGCTGGGGGGGCCCGGGGGGCAGGGAGCGGCCGTGACCGCCCCCGTGGCTTCGTGCCCGGGCTGCTCCCGGGGCTCCCGGTGTTCCCGTGGCTCCCGCTGCTCCCGGTGCTCCCGGGGCCCCCGAGGCTCCCGTGGCTCCCGCGGCTGCCGGGGCTCCCGGTGCTCCTGGTCTCCCGGTGTTCCCGGGGCTCCCGGTGCTCCCGTACCTGCGGGGCCGGTGCCGGGGGGCAGCAGCGGCCCCGGCGCAGTTCCATGTCCAGCGCTGACCCCCGCGCCACCGTGGCGCGGCTCCGCTCGTCCCGCCGGAACATCCCCGGGGGTCCCGGTGGCTCCGGGGTGCAGAGGGGTCTGGAGAGTCCCGGGGGTCCTGGGGGATCCCGGAGCCTTCCGAGGGGTCCCGGGTGGTCCCGGAGTCCCCGTGAGCCGGAGATTTACGGGTGGTCGCGGTGTTCCCGGTGGTCCCGGTACTCCGGAGCCTTCCCGGTGTCCGCAGCTTCCCGGCGGTTCTGGGGGTCCCGGTGCTCCGGAAGGGAGTCCCGGTGTCCGGAGCCCCCGGACCAGGTGGGAACACCGGGACGGAGCCGCAGGGAGATGCCGGGGTCGCCTCTCCGGTCCCCGCTGAGCCCCGGGATGGCGGGAGGGGCGGCGGGGGCGGCGATCGGTGCCGGCGGCTCCTGGCACGGGCGGGACAATGGCCCGGGGGGGTCCGGGTGACATCTGTGCGCGGGTGACATCGCCGCGTGCGCGACACCGGGGCTGTCACACGCGTGGCCCCGCAGGGAATCCTAAAATCCCGGCAGCGGGAGGGTGGGGAGGGCTCTCTGGAGATGTCGCGGTGCCACCTGCAGAGGTGACACACGGCCGGGTGACACGGCCCGGGGCTGGTCCCGCCGTGGGATGGGGATTCCGTGTGTGGATGGAAGGATCCACTCAGATGGGAGATTTGGGTGAATAGTCGAGATATTTGGGTGGGTATTTTAGGGGGTTTTGGGGATATTTGGGATATTTGGGTGGGTATTTCAGGGGGTTTTGTGAATATTTGCGATATTTGGGTGGGTATTTAAGGGGGTTTTGTGGGTATTTGGGATATTTGGGTGAGTATCTGAGGGCGTTTTGTGAATATTTGGGATATTTAGGTGGGTATTTGAGAGTTTTGCGTGGATATTTTGGATATTTGGGTGAGTATTTTAGGGGGTTTTGTGAATATTTGGGATATTTGGGTGGGTATTTGAGGAATTTTTGTGAATATTTTGGATAGTTAGGTGAGTATCTGAGGCGTTTGTGAGGATATTTGGGATATTTAGGTGGGTATTTCAGGGGTTTTGCGTGAATATTTGGGATATTTGGGTGAGTATTTTAGGGGTTTTGTGAATATTTGGGATATTTGGGTCTCCCGGTGCTCCCGTACCTGCGGGGCCGGTGCCGGGGGGCAGCAGCGGCCCCGGCGCAGTTCCATGTCCAGCGCTGACCCCCGCGCCACCGTGGCGCGGCTCCGCTCGTCCCGCCGGAACATCCCCGGGGGTCCCGGTGGCTCCGGGGTGCAGAGGGGTCTGGAGAGTCCCGGGGGTCCTGGGGGATCCCGGAGCCTTCCGAGGGGTCCCGGGTGGTCCCGGAGTCCCCGTGAGCCGGAGATTTACGGGTGGTCGCGGTGTTCCCGGTGGTCCCGGTACTCCGGAGCCTTCCCGGTGTCCGCAGCTTCCCGGCGGTTCTGGGGGTCCCGGTGCTCCGGAAGGGAGTCCCGGTGTCCGGAGCCCCCGGACCAGGTGGGAACACCGGGACGGAGCCGCAGGGAGATGCCGGGGTCGCCTCTCCGGTCCCCGCTGAGCCCGGGGATGGCGGGAGGGGCGGCGGGGGCGGCGATCGGTGCCGGCGGCTCCTGGCACGGGCGGGACAATGGCCCGGGGGGGTCCGGGTGACATCTGTGCGCGGGTGACATCGCCGCGTGCGCGACACCGGGGCTGTCACACGCGTGGCCCCGCAGGGAATCCTAAAATCCCGGCAGCGGGAGGGTGGGGAGGGCTCTCTGGAGATGTCGCGGTGCCACCTGCAGAGGTGACACACGGCCGGGTGACACGGCCCGGGGCTGGTCCCGCCGTGGGATGGGGATTCCGTGTGTGGATGGAAGGATCCACTCAGATGGGAGATTTGGGTGAATAGTCGAGATATTTGGGTGGGTATTTTAGGGGGTTTTGGGGATATTTGGGATATTTGGGTGGGTATTTGAGAGTTTTGCGTGGATATTTTGGATATTTGGGTGAGTATTTTAGGGGGTTTTGTGAATATTTGGGATATTTGGGTGGGTATTTGAGGAATTTTTGTGAATATTTTGGATAGTTAGGTGAGTATCTGAGGCGTTTGTGAGGATATTTGGGATATTTAGGTGGGTATTTCAGGGGTTTTGCGTGAATATTTGGGATATTTGGGTGAGTATCTGAGGGCGTTTTGTGAATATTTGGGATATTTAGGTGGGTATTTCAGGGGTTTTGCGTGAATATTTGGGATATTTGGGTGAGTATTTTAGGGGTTTTGTGAATATTTGGGATATTTGGGTATTTGAGGCGTTTGTGAGGATATTTGGGATATTTAGGTGGGTATTTCAGGCGTTTGTGAGGATATTTGGGATATTTAGGTGGGTATTTCAGGCGTTTGTGAGGATATTTGGGATATTTAGGTGGGTATTTCAGGCGTTTGTGAGGATATTTGGGATATTTAGGTGGGTATTTCAGGCGTTTGTGAGGATATTTGGGATATTTAGGTGGGTATTTCAGGCGTTTGTGAGGATATTTGGGATATTTAGGTGGGTATTTGAGAGTTTTGCGTGGATATTTTGGATATTTGGGTGAGTATTTTAAGGGTTTTTGTGAATATTTGGGATACTTGGGTGGGTATTTTAGGGGTTTTTGAGAATATTTTGGATATTTAGGTGAGTGTCTGAGCGGTTTGTGTGGATATTTGGGATATTTAGGTGGGTATTTGAGAGTTTTGCGTGGATATTTTGGATATTTGGGTTAGTATTTTAGGGGTTTTTGTGAATATTTGGGATATTTGGGTGGGTATCTGAGGCGTTTGTGAGGATATTTGGGATATTTAGGTGGGTATTTTAGGGGTTTTGCGTGGATATTTAGGATATTTGGGTGGGTATCTGTGGAGTTTTTGAGGATATTTGGGATATT